ACACATAGTTCTGCTCGTTAAAGCCAAAAAATTGCTTAGTGCAAAGTGAGACGCCAACTTCACGCAGCGTCTCACTTTGTCCTACGACATTTTCCGTATCAGAAATGATCAGAAATGAAAAGATCTATAGTTCTACATGAGTTCTAAGAAGAGTTCTACCTTCTAAAAGCAGAAAATATTAATTAAACCAAAATTAAGATAATCGTATACCTGTATCTATAGATGTCGAAGGGAGAGGCCAGTCAATTTTTAACAGTTCTGCTTATTATAAAGTAGTTCTCGTATAGTTCTGGGTATGTACGATGAATTTCCAAAGAGTTCTGATAATTAAAACTCTTACAAATTATTTTAATTAATTATTTTACCCGAAAACGCCTATTTTCGACTCTAAAGGTGAGACGCCAGTCGATTTTCGAGAGTTCTGTTTTTTCTAAAACAGTTCTCGTATAGTATTAGACATGTATATTGAGTTTCCAAAGAGTTCTGATAATTAAAAGAATAAAAGATAATTTAATTAACTATTTCACCCGAAAAACGTCTATTTTCGACACTAAAGGTGAGACGCCAGTCGATTTTCGAGAGTTCTGTTTTTTCTAAAACAGTTCTCGTATAGTATTAGACATGTATATTGAGTTTCCAAAGAGTTCTGATAATTAAAAGAATAAAAGATAATTTTAATTAACTATTTCACCCGAAAAACGTCTATTTTCGACACTAAAGGTGAGACGCCAGTCGATTTTCGAGAGTTCTGTTTTTTCTAAAACAGTTCTCGTATAGTATTAGACATGTATATTGAGTTTCCAAAGAGTTCTGATAATTAAAACTCTTACAAATTATTTTAATTAATTATTTTACCCGAAAAACGCCTATTTTCGACTCTAAAGGTGAGACGCCAGTCGATTTTCGAGAGTTCTGTTTTTTCTAAAACAGTTCTCGTATAGTATTTGTCATGTACAATGAGTTTCCAAAGACTTCTGATAATTGAAACTCTTACAAATTATTTTAATTAATTATTTTACCCGAAAAACGCCTATTTTCGACTCTAAAGGTGAGACGCCAGTCGATTTTCGAGAGTTCTGTTTTTTCTAAAACAGTTCTCGTATAGTATTTGTCATGTACAATGAATTTCCAAAGAGTTCTGATAATTGAAACTCTTACAAATTATTTTATTAATTATTTTACCCGAAAAACGCCTATTTTCGACTCTAAAGGTGAGACGCCAGTCGATTTTCGAGAGTTCTGTTTTTTCTAAAACAGTTCTCGTATAGTATTTGTCATGTACAATGAGTTTCCAAAGAGTTCTGATAATTAAAACTCTTACAAATTATTTTAATTAATTATTTTACCCGAAAAACGCCTATTTTCGACTCTAAAGTGAGACGCCAGTCGATTTTCGAGAGTTCTGTTTTTTCTAAAAACAGTTCTCGTATAGTATTTGTCATGTAATGACAATACAAACAAATACTATTACGAGAAAACTTGTTTAGAAAAAACAGAACTCTCGAAAATCGACTGGCGTCTCACCTTTAGAGTCGAAAATAGGCGTTTTTCGGGTAAAAAAATTAATTAAAATAATTTGTAAGAGTTTTAATTATCAGAACCTTTGGAAACTCATTGTACATGACAAAACTATACGAGAACTGTTTTAGAAAAAACAGAACTCTCGAAAATCGACTGGCGTCTCACCTTTAGAGTCGAAAATAGGCGTTTCGGGTAAAATAATTAATTAAAATAATTTGTAAGAGTTTTAATTATCAGAACTCTTGGAAACTCAATATACATGTCTAATACTATACGAGGACTGTTTTAGAAAAAACAACTCTCGAAAATCGACTGGCGTCTCACCTTTAGTGTCGAAAATAGACGTTTTTCGGGTGAAATAGTTAATTAAAATTATATTTTATCTTTAATTATCAGAACTCTTTGGAAACTCAATATACATGTCTAATACTATACGAGAACTGTTTAGAAAAAACAGAACTCTCGAAAATCGACTGGCGTCTCACCTTTAGAGTCGAAAATAGGCGTTTTTCGGGTAAAATAATTAATTAAAATAATTTGTAAGAGTTTCAATTATCAGAACTCTTTGGAAATTCATTGTACATGACAAATACTATACGGAACTGTTTTAGAAAAACAGAACTCTCGAAAATCGACTGGCGTCTCACCTTTAGAGTCGAAAATAGGCGTTTTTTCGGGTAAAATAATTAATTAAAATAATTTGTAAGAGTTTAATTATCAGAACTCTTTGGAAACTCAATTATACATGTCTAATACTATACGAGAACTGTTTTAGAAAAAAACAGAACTCTCGAAAACGAATCTGGCGTCTCACCTTTAGAGTCGAAAATAGGCGTTTTTCGGGTAAAATAATTAATTAAAATAATTTGTAAGAGTTTCAATTATCAGAACCCTTTGGAAACTCATTGTACATGACAAATACTATACGAGAACTGTTTTAGAAAAAACAGAACTCTCGAAATCGACTGGCGTCTCACCTTTAGAGTCGAAAATAGGCGTTTTCGGGTAAAATAATTAATTAAAATAATTTGTAAGTTTTAATTATCAGAACTCTTTGGAAATTCATCGTACATACCCAGAACTATACGAGAACTACTTTATAATAAGCAGAACTGTTAAAAATTGACTGGCGCTCTCCCTTCGACATCTATAGATACAGGTATCCGATTATCTTAATTTTGGTTTGTTTAATTAATATTTTCTGCTTTTAGAAGGTAGAACTTCTTAGACTCATGTAGAACTATAGATCTTTTCATTTCTGATCATTTCTGATACGGAAAATGTCGTAGGACAAAGTGAGACGCTGCGTGAAGTTGGCGTCTCACTTTGCACTAAGCAATTTTTTGGCTTTAACGAGCAGAAACTATGTGTTTTACCTATCAGGAACTCTAGAATATTAAAAAAGAAGTCAGAACTCTCAAAATATAAGAGTTTCCGCAAAATGATACGCCAACTTCACACAACTAAAAAAAGAAATGAAATATTGTATAAAAATTAAAGTGAAAGCTGATTATAATATCGAGAGACAAAGGGAAAACCTAAATATTAAAAAAAAGAAATAATAATATTAATCAACAAAATTTTCCTTTCGTTATAGACAATTTAGACGATCACATATCATTTTTATCTGGCTATTTACTCTTTATACAATTCGACTGTATCAAATGAAATCAAATATTGTGATGCAATATAACGTGATTAAATCGACCAAGTACTAACTCGAAGATCTGTGATTAAATATTTGACAAGCAGATTGCGGTGTTTTAAAGTACGAAAAAAGATGGCCATTTTTTCTCGCTGATTAACTCGACAATATTACGATGAGATTATACCTGTAGTCCAATAAAAAAATCAGAGCAGACATTTATATGTACTCTTAAGCCTCAAATGCATTCGTTAATAATAATGATATCGCATTTCATTTATACAGATATTTGAGGATTCGCCAAACATGGCAAAACTGAAAGTATAAACTTTCTCAAATTATGCAAATAGAAGAAAGGATGAGAAAATTCATAAAAGTAAAGCGAAGAATTTATAATTAAGAATTTGATGCAAAAGTCTCTTATTAAAAAAAAAAAAAAAAAAATTTATTGGAATAAAAATCGAGAAATTAATTTGAGAAAAATGCCGTCAAAAGACGTTGAAAGATTTATAATGACGAGAATCTGAACTCTATTAAAACGTGCAACCGTTACTTATCATCGTCAAGTATTGACAACGCGATAAAATACATGACGGTGTTGAGGCGCGATAAACCGAGAAAAAAATATAATACTTCGGAAATTGGAAAGATAATGTTCCACCAACTTCGAAGAGACGTTGACTTGGCGCAATTTAATACATTAACTTTGTCGTTAGGCAACTTTCGAACTTGGAAGAAAATCCGTGTGTGTGCGATTTCGCTTTCTCTTTTTCTACAGCGCGTTTATGTCTCGAAACACGATTCTACTATCAGCGCCCCTCTTTCGATAAGAGAGGACACAAATAAATAATTATCTGTTTCGGAAAAAAAAACCGATAAAAAGCAGGAAAATACAAGAATAAGAGACTGATATAACCAATATCTTATCGGAGTCTCCTCCGAAGTCATCGAGATTCTGATGATAATAATTGTCTGCGCGTGAATTTAAAAAGCGAAGAGAAACGTTTTATCTTTTATTCTCTAATATACGATCTGATAATAATGAAATAATAATTCTAAATAATGACAGATTAATTACAGAGAGAATTTTCTCTTCAAATTTATCCTGAAAATCATGACACAATATGATAAATTGGAAAAGTTTTATCAGGCTTTCTCTGATTAATATTTATTGTAATAAAAAAAATTAACATCTATCGCAAAAGATGATGTATAAAATATGTTGAATTACTTGTTGTTTGTAACCTTTAAAAATAGAAAAAATGCGGCCACGTCTACGCTTATTGCAGCGACGTTTTCGTTATTCAAGAAGCACTCTTGGAACTCGTTGATTAAAATAGACGGGATACATCTCTTACGTGATTATTGCGGAGCCGCGCGCGCGTTTATTAATTCTTTCATTCGCATTCACATATATATGCACGTTCGAAAGTGCAAGATGCATGTCCGACACGAAGCGGCGGTGCGATGCTCATTAACCACCGCGTATTACCTCGTTGCAATTAACGCGCGATCCGAAACCAATTATGAGCGAGCGAGGCGCGAAAGGATTTAATTAACCGGTAACGACGCGTTCGCATTTTTTTCCCATTTCTCACACGGGAGATCATTATTCGAGATACGAGTTCGTGATATTAATCTTTAAAGCAAGTTTCACTGATATATAAGAATAGAATTAATTTTGCATCTAGTTTCAATATAATATATTGTTATATTGCAGTCTCTTGCTCCATTTTTTTTGTATTTTCCTTTCCTTCTTTATATTTCTTCGAGCACATACTTATTCATTTTAAATTTTAATACGTATATAGAAAGAGAGAACTTGATATTTTACCTTAATGCGTACTTGAAGATTAGAACTCTCGTGTGACATTTTATAAGAAATGCGGCGATAACATCGAGTTATCCGGGATATAAGAATCGGCCATTTTCACACGGCGGTAGAGAAACTGCGCGCATATAAAAGAAATCTAAATCGGGACGGCTTCTCGTCGCGAAAAACAAAACAGCTGTTTTGTACACGATGACTGTTCTCGACAGATCATCACGGCGGAGTTGCTTGAACTCCGTTCATCGCGCGCATAACCTTTCCTCGGCAACGATCATGACTGTGCTTATTAACCGAGGGGGTAAAACGCGGTGACAGAATTTTAACGAGCGAATAAATCACGCCGATCGAAAATTTGCATTTTGGTCTCGCCCGCCCTATTCCACCAACATCGAGTATTTCTCCATTGAGGGTCAATTTCAACATCGGTTAACTTCAACCTCTACACAGAGAGAATTTTCTTTTAGAATTTACCCTAATATATTAAATATTTTTATCACAATAAAATATAATATATCTACTCCAATAAAATTAATTTTACTATATACATTATGATATTCTTTGATTCTAATGATTTCAGGGTAAATTCTAAAAGAAAATTCTCTCCGGTGGTAAACCTAACCGATGAAGCTATAATATAATATGACATTAATGCCGCTATCGAAATTTATTAGTGTCGTTTGTTAATTGAAAAACTTCTAGAGACTGTATTACAGATTATCGATAAATGATTAATAGAAATTAATTAATTATGACTGATCGATTTTATCGGCAAAAGTTTAGTCACACTTGGAATAACTCAAAGACGCGAGAACTTCAAGAAGCCTGTACATTCCGAGAAACTTCCTTCCTCGAGATTGTTAATCACACACGCGATCTTAGAATTTGCCTTTTGGGTCAGCAGGAATGGCGAATTCGTGCCCATCGAATTTCTAGCATTCAGCTCTTCTCGGGTTCCGAAGCTAAAATTAGCAACCTGTGCACGGAGAGAGAGAGAGAGAGAGAGAACACCGTTGCAACTTGCAACACGTTCCTATCCGCCACCGAATTTCCACTCTCATCTAGCATAGACCACATGCCTCTCTAAAGTCTTATCGATACGGCTTATCTACTTCGGTCTGACTAATGTTCCGTTTTGGAATTCTACTTTACACTAAACTGACCAAAATTTCCAAATTGACTAAACCTTTCGACTAAATATTATTTCGTTAATTAAACATATAAAAATATTTAAATTAAATATAACAAAACGTATACTTGACTTAAATATTAAATATGTTTAATTAATAAAATAGTAATTTAGTTGAAAGGTTTAGTGAAGTTGACAAAATTTTTTTCAGTGTACAACACACTGCACTGCACTTATTTTCGAAATATCATGTTGCATACTTAGCATTGCTAAGTTTCAATATCTTATCAATCTTCAGCTTTTTTAACATATATATTGATAAAATGGTAAAAGAGAAAACAGATGTATTTGATTATATTAATCTTTAAATCGTAACATTTGTATAAAAATGTGTTGAGTTAAAAACAAGTCTTCTCCTCGAGATTTCGTATATAAATTGTTTTTTTCCGATAATTTATAAATTATAAAGATAAATAAATATTATTGTATAATTGACGAGTTTTTAACTGCTTGAATTTCAGGAAATTGTGTATATATTAATGTAAAAATATATGGTATATAGAATTATTATATACTTGTAATTTAATACAATTATGTGTTATTAAATTCATTCAAAAATATATTTTCGATTTAAAGATTAACGCTTAGCACGTGTGTGCAATAATATTTTAATTCGTGCAATAAATCGTTCACCTAACGGTAAGCGATATAATAATAAATTCAAGACAAATCTTATGTAACTTAAAAATGGCTTTTAACAATAAGAGAATAAAATATGCTACCTATGCATCTTTCGTTTTTTATGGGCGTGTCTGTCATAATAAGTCATAAAATTAATCTTGCATTGGTTTCGTAGATTTGGCTGAACTTTTTAATAATAAATCAAAAAAATGTATTGGAAATCCTCAACTCTCATTTACTTGAAATATATTGATACTTTGCGGAGCTAAAAAATTAAGAATACAATTAAAAGGGAAAAAAACCTGAAACATATACACCTTCATTATAATCGTGCAATATTTCACATATGCTTTATAATGAAATTTTCTACATTTCCGTGGTTGTGAAGAAAAATATCCTGACAAATCTCACGAAACTAACGCAGAGAAGAAAAGGAAAATATGCGGCCGAAAGGCGGACTCGAGACGGATCGAGTGTTTGCGGCGTGCGAACGAGAGAGACGGAGAGAGGACAGACAGAAAGAGAGAGGGTTACGGCAGGCACGGTGAGACACGGAACGGGCGAGAAGAGAGAGAGAGGACGACTCTGGGTGGGGCAGCAGCCAGACGCCCCGCGGCAAACTGTCAAACTACACACC